CCGACTTATGGTAAAAACATTTAGAGCTCGTTTTGTAAAACAACAGAGGAGTACAAAGGTAATAGGAGAAAAAACTGTGCCCCTCGAGGGGATCACACTCCCCCAGCCCAGTGGGGCCAGTCCCCACGGAGCAGCCTCACCTCCCGCTCCTTGGATCCAGCAGCAGAGATGTAAAGTGAAGGCAGAATGAAAATTAACATTTTTCTTCAAATGCTGCAGAAATATCACAGTGGTGACAACAACCACCGGGAAAAGAGCTGGCAGTGCCCATCCTTACAACGAGCAAAAGCTGCAAGGGCTCTGCTCCAGGTGCTCTCCCCCTGCCCTGGCATGAGGATCAGCCATGCACTATCCAAGCTAAAGGATGCCCTGTTCTGTTAAAAGCAAAATACAATTTGTGAACAAGATGTTTTCTCCATTAGGCACAAACCGATCCCAGCACCTACGGCAAGCTCAGATGTCCAAGTCCAGAGCTGTTCATGGATTTATCCCACAGTTACAGTGGCATAACACCCATAGGATATAGACTATTGTTTTAGGGGGCAATGTTATTACTGATTTGAAGAATCATAAATAAATCAGAGAAACTTGTACAATTTTGATCCTGAATTTTTGGTCTCTCTTGATGCCTTTTCTGATACAGGGACTGCTGTGGATCAGGCCCTTGACAAGGTCATTCAGAACCAGCCTCAACAAACATGTTGTTATATACAAATCAGACCAGTCCTCAAAACATCTCACACTGTTCCAAAAACAACCTGATTAAATCCCTCCCTCTGCACATGCAGAGAGAACAACAATTTCTATGAATGGATGGACATTCATTACTTAGCTCCCAATCCCTGACTTAAAGCCCAAGGCAAAATGGAGCTTCAAACATTTTCTGCTCACAACCCACCAGAGACAGCTCCAGAGAACACAGGGTTGTCCCACTGAGTAACTCAACCACTTTTCAGAGGAAGGCCTTGCCCATATTCAGGGCCTAAAAAAAAAAAAAAAAAAAAAAAATCCACATTTGCAAATCAACAGGAGCTGCCTGCCAAATGAGAATGAGATGGGCCTCAAATTAAAAATCTGCTGGACTTTGTTCTCCATCCAAAACCCTCCATCTCCAAAGAAAGATTTATGTTACTTCAAAACAGAGTTGGCTTCGAAAGTAGAAAGGGAAGAGAATATATTTTATCTTCCAGAATGGCAAAGCTGTTCTGGAACAAGGAAAAAGGGACCATGTTTATCACTGCAATGTACAATTTATTGTGAAAGTCAAAACAGAATGTTCCACAGAAATGCATTTGCTACATCGACCCAGGCTCATACCAGCAGCTCAGATCCCATTTCTGAAGGGTTCTTAAAAGAAGAAGAGAGCATTGGTTGCAGATTAATACTCATCTCATGACTAGTAGATTTTAATTATCCGTAATTTATGATGGTGTATTGGCAAAATAGTTTTTGCCAATTTATCAGCCTAAAAGGAAAGACAGAGGGTGTGCGTGGAGATGCAAAGACACAGAGTCCCACTAGAAAGATCCAGGAAAAGGTTTGATGGTGCTGATTAATCCTAGAGAAATGCTGCAGGGTTAACAGCTCCCCAGCATTCCCAAGCACCACAGGCACCTCCAGGATGACAGAAGTGTGCCTGCTCTGCAAGGATTCAGCATTCCCAGGCTGGATCCTCCTCCTCCCCATCAATCAGTCGCTGCCCTTGGTGGAAACTGGGCACCGTGCACTGATCGTGGTAACACCAGAAGCACTGCAAAGAATTTATACTGGAAATGTATTTCTGCAGGAAGAATAGAGAGATGTTAATTCACTCCCTAAAGATGCCCCTGGGGAGCAGGGAGCAGGATCACTCCTCCTGCATCACGGCATCACTGTGCACACCCAGTGTGAAAGAGCACAGGGTACTGCGCTCGGGCAAGATTCCTGCCATGTGCCTCCCTTGGCAAGGCAATTTTTCCTGAGTTGAGAATGCAAAACTCCCTCCTGTACTTTGTGGACTCTCATACACACAATTTAGGACCTGGGAAAATCCTTCCTTGCTGGTATGTCAGCCAGCACACCGTTGCTAAAGCTCTGCTAAGAGCAAAATGAGCCCTGGTGTTACTGAAATGTGTGTTTTTTTCCCATGGTTTATGTATTGTGAAATACAGCTGAAGAGTCTCTCTAGAGCTTATGTGGGAAAAAAATCCCCAAATTTTCCTGAAGCAACTGGAGGGATGTGAAAATACCCACCATAGACCAACAATCCCCTTAGGTGGTGCAGGAACATGCTGCCTCTCACTTACAACACCATCACAACAACACAGGCAGCCTGAAATCCTGTGAGAGCTCCACTTTCATGGCAAGGGAGCAGGAGAGGGTCTGCAGCACATACCAATGCCCCAGGAAAAAGGGGATTCTGACCCAGATTTAAATGAGAAATCCAAAACAGAGGTAAGTGTTCCCTCAGCGGGGTGCAGGCGGCCGATGACACAGATGGGTGTCGCAGTCTGGATGAGGGCTCCTTTCAGAGATGGTACCACTTTCAGCTGAGCATCCCCAGTCCTCGTGGCCACTGTGCAGACACAAGAGGTGTTCCTGCTGTGCAGTCCCAGTGGTGGAGCAGGTCCTGGATGCAGCCCACAAGGAAGTTGGTGAGAGGTTGGCACCCCGGGGTGGGAAATACTCCTCACAGCGTGCCCTTTGGCGTGGCTCCGGGAACGTGCTGCTCCTTGTCACCCCCATACCTTGTGCTGAGCCATCACAGCCCTAAAAATCCTGCCAAGGAGCATCAGTCCTCCAGGCTGCAACCGCTGGGAAGTCTGAGGTTGGTCCACTTCCAGCTGTCATGGCAGGCTGCTCCATGCAGGATGAGCTGACAGGGACTGGTTTACGTGGGGAGCCCTTTTCCCCTGCCTCGGTGCCACTGGTATTCCTGATGCATCAGAACTCCTCACCAAACACAATCAGCAGTGGGGGAGGCTCCTTCTCACCCTGCCTGACAGGGTGGGAGGGATCCCATTATCCACTCGTGGGTGCCCAGCCCTTTGCTACCCCCTTCATCCCACTCCCAGTGGCCAGCCCTTCAAGGGAAAACAGGGATGCTGGGGAAGTGGTTAAAGAAAAGGTACAAATACCCCCTTCCAGGGGTGGCCCTGACTGAATGTACATTCCCATTTCATTATCCTTCTCAACATCCCTTGTCCTTTCAGAAATGGAAATGCTGATGCGCAATAGGGCCCTCTGTAGCTGCAAAGAGAAACTGTGGCTTATTGCAGGGCACAGGTGGGATGGGAGACCTCCCAGTAAAACAATATCACGTCCACTAAGTGCACAAAACAATTCCATTAACATTTCAGGATGCTCTGGGCTCAGGCACATCTCCCCAGCAGCTCACAGCAAATGGGCAGAGCTCTGCCGTGTTCCCAGTGAGTTATTTATGCACAGTGACACGGCAAAGTCCTTCCCAGCCTCACTGCCTCTTCCCAAATAAATAAATAAATAAATAAATAAATAAAGCAACCGTTTTGAACAACAACAACAAAAAAAAACCAAACACTTGAAACTGAACACAACAAACCCTTTAAATAAAAGGGTTTTAGAGCCCTTCCCTAAACTCAGCTAAGCAGAAGACAGTGAAGAGCCTGTAAGTGCTCCTTGCCCAGGGTCCTTCCTAGAGATGGGTTTTATCTGGGATAGCTGCATGCAATACTGGGAGAACTTTTATTTTTCCAGTCCACCCTACCATCCCCTGAAGCTTTTTGAAACAGAAATGCTTTGAGGCAGACACTGTTCTAGCCCAGCTCTGAGCTGAGCCGCCAGCACCAGACAGGAGCGACGGGGTTGGAACTGGTGTGAGGTTCTGGAGTTTCCCAGAGTATCCCATGTAGGTCTGAGAAGCAGGAGCGCTCAGGCAGTGCTCTCCGTGGCAGGCACAAGATAACAGCGTGCTGTTGGTGATCCTTGGCGGTATCCCACCCCACACCAGCCGGAGTTCTCCAAAGCAAAGGCAGCGGGAGACACCTCTGCCCGCTCCACGGTTTGACTCCAAAGTTACAACCATTGTACCTGCACTCGGCCGGGAAAACAAAGTCAACCATCTCGTCCCTGGCTTCCTTCCAGCAGCCTCATCCCACAGACAAACGTGCACGGCTGTGCATAAGCAAATGTCATTTGATAACTCAGAAGAGAAAAGAAGGGGCGGGGGGGGATGGGGGGGAAGCGCCCTGAATATCAGCAAAGGGTAAGTCACTTCCTTTCTTCTCCCGCTGCCTTAAGATTCTCCGTTGCAGTGACAACAGCAGCATCTGGTGGCAGTGGTCAGTACCTGGGGTGCTCCTCTCCGGTGTCCCATCCATCCACCCTGGCCAGCACCAGCACCCATCGCACCCGCTCGCTCGCCCGGGCCGAGCTCGCTGGAGGCGCAGAGGAGGCGATTTCCCCGCACAGCGAGGACCCGCGGATCAATTGCGACCGCCTAATCCGGGACTAATCTCAGGGATTCAGGCCACGGATGAGCTCACGACGAGGGGCCCCGTGCCCCAAGGCTCGGGTGGGCACTGCTGGGGGCACACAGGACCACCGAGCCCACCCCAGCCCCTGCACGGAAAAGCGGGCGGCAAACTAAACCATGCTGACATCCGACAACTTGTCGGTAAAATCGAGTTCCCGAAGCCAGCAGGATTCGGGGGCAGCCGCAGTTCCCACTGGCACACGCTCACATTATCCCAGATTTCGGCTTTCACGCACTACGGGCCGATGTTTCAGTGGCACGGGTGTCCTGCTCCCGGGTGACCCAGCTCCCGTTAGTATTTTAAGAGCATATTTAGCATTTTAAGAGCAACGGCAATGATAATAAACCAGTTTGAAAACGGCAGAACGCGGATACAGGTGAAAACAACAAAAGTTGTTTCCTTTGTGCATAATCTGGCATCTCAAAATAAATGAGAACTATTAGGTTTGCTACAACTTAATAAAAAGATATAAATGACCCAAGTGGCGGAGAACACTTAAATACATACCCTGATACATAAAGATTAATTTGCCGTGTCTGGAAAGCCATGCAGGTTTCCCTCTGCTTCTGTCAGAAGAGTTTGATCACAAACTATCAGAACAGTGAGATGAGCCGAGAGCATCCTGAGCTGCCGTCCCAACGCAGGAAAGTATTTTCTCCCTTTATTAACTTTTTCAAAACAATTACCCGATTTTGGCCCGGGAGGCAGCAAGGATTCTGCCTCGGATGATCCCCCTCCCTCCAAAGGGATCCGTATCCCACGGCTTTGTAGCTGAAACATCAGCTACAAACGAAGACGATACTAGCAGAGAACTCCTTATCCCTGAAGGAGCATCTATCCCCTCCGCTTCGCCTTCTCTAGGATGAAGGAAATTTCCTACAGCACCTCCGCGCTCTCAAATATCCCCTGCGCATCCCTCTCCCGTTACAAGAGGAGGGTGCTTCACTTTGCAGCTGCAGCGAGCGGGGGAAATGTGGGTTAGGGAGGTCTCGCCGCCGTGCTGTGGGTCTGGGAGGGCACACACACCCCCCTCACCCCCCAGGGCTGGGTGTCCCCTCCGCGGGAGCGTAGGCAGGTGGGGGGACGGAGGCGGGGGCCGGGGCCGGAGCCCCCGCTCGGGAGGAGCCGCGACCCGGCTTGCGAAGAAGGTGCAGAACAACAACGCGGCGAAGAACAACAGGAAAAAAAGTACCCGACAACAAACGCAACAACCACCACCAACCCCCCGCCCCCAAAACCCCGCGCATCGCTCCGGGCCCAGCGCCCCCGGAGCGGAGAAGGTTAAACAAGCCCGGCACGGACACACCGACACCCGCTCCCCCCGCGCTCCGCTCCCGGCCCGCCCCGCCGAGCAGCGCCCGGGGCTCGGGCTCCCCCTCTCCTCTCCCAGACCACTTTCAAAATTCCCTCCCGCCGGAGCCCGGCGCCGCCGGCACTTTCCTGCCCCTTTTCCCCGCGGAGCAGCGGCGGGACGGGACGCGGCGAGCGCGGCCGCCCGGGGGACCCCCGCGCCGGTACCTTGTTGCAGTGATAATAATCCAGCGGGCCGAGGCAAGTGGGGTCTGCGCCGGGCAGGGAGCCCACGGCGGGGGGGGCGGAGGGGTAGAACCGAACGTCCATGCCGGGGCTGCGGGCGGCGGCAGGCGGGGGCTCCAGCGGGCATGGACCCGGCTGCGGCGGCGGCGGTGCCTCTGGCGCGGGGAGAGGGCGGGGAGAGGGCGGGCGGCGGCGCAGGGGGGGCGGGCGGCGGCCCCCGGCCCGCCCCGCTCCGCGCCGCCCCGCGCCGGGGCCGCTATTGTTCGCGGCGGGGCCGGGCGGCTCCTCCCGGGCTGGGCCAGAGGGGATGGAGCCCCCTCGGAGCCGGCCCGCTGCGGCCCCTCTCGCCCGTCCCCGACCGCCCCGGCGAGGGGGGAAGTTGAGACAGCGACGCCGCTTCCCGCTCCTCTTGTCACGTTTTGTGCGTTTCCCCCCTCCCCGCCCCCGGCCCAGCCCGCACCGGTGCCCGGTGTGCCCTCTCCCGACACAGGACGGTGCCCAGCAGCCTGCGCTCCCCTCCGCACCTGGCGCCCACCCGCCGGTGAAGGATGCTCTTCATCGCCCTAAATAGGACGCCATTAGGGACCCCCGAATAGGTTCCCCCACTTAAGAGCCCCTGAATGCACCGTTTCTGGAAGCGCCTTCCCCACGCGCCCTCCCACCCGGGAGGGAACAGCCAGCCTCAGGTTTTGCACCTGGCACCGGCCCCCAAGGCTTGGAGACCCACGTTCTCCCACCACCCGGATTTCCACGCTCCCGTCTTTATGTGGACCCTGCTGCTGGAAGGCAGCACCCATCCATGGCCGCCCTCTGTGCCATCCCCCTCCAGCTCCCACGGGCCGGGACTTCCAGGGCACAGCGGAATGGAACCCCCAAATGCGGCCGTGGGGAGGGAGGGTGGAACAGCGGAGGGGAACAGGCTGGACGCGCAGGGGTCCCCCTTCCTCGCTCTCCCGCTCCCTTCCAACATCTCACAACAGATCCCTTTAGAAAACCAGCCCGGTGGGGGAGAATATTGTATCCAGGCTGTTTTTGCAGTGCGTTATCCCATTCCCAGATAGAGGGGAAACGCTTGAAAGTTACGGCGGTCGATCCCTAAGCTCTCAGAGAGCTCACAGGACTGATGGAGTCAGTTTTCTGGCAAACCTCCGCTAGAAATGGGTTTACTTATTTATTTATTTTTTTAAAAACCTCATGACTCCGAAGGCACATTTGCCATGTGCACCCTACAAGACTCTGTGTAGCTGGAAAGCTGAGCTAAATAAATGCTGAGTTCTTCCACGAGCGTCTTTCATTGCAAAAGCGTGGCCAACTCCTGCCAAATTCAAGGAGGGGGGAGGCGGGCTGGGGTTTCGAGGGAATGCCAGCTCCAGGAATCAAGTGATTATGTAAAAATCGTAGCTCTCATTTAAATTAAAAACAAGCTTTCAGCCCTCGTGATGGTGGAAAAAAAATTGATTTAAGGATAAAAATTGACTCGGGCACAAAAACTGCTTCGCATTTATTACTATTTTTCAAACGGTATGATTTTTCTGGAGAATCAGCATCGATCCCTCTGCATTTAGCAGCAAAGCAGGTCGGCTTGGGGGAGTTCTCCACCAGGCAAGCTGCTCCAGGGCTCCAGGTCAAAGGCATTACAGAGATGTATAATATTTTGCATTAAAACTTTGAATATCTGTGCTCAGCTGATCTGTGCCCTTCCTGATTTACACGCACCCAGAAAGGACTGGTTTTCCCTCTCTCCCTGTTTCAGCAAATACTGAACTGACATGTCACATTATTAGAGCTTCATTATTTTTGTAAAACCCTCCCAAGTAGAGTGACTGGTATATTATGAAGTATAAATAATTAAAACTAAATGAGAGTTGTCAAAATAATGGAACAAAGTGTATTTTATTATGCATTATTCTGGCTTGTTTATCCACAAAATTCAGTAATTAGTAAGCAGCCTCTGAGTCATTAGCAAGGTTTTACTGTATTATTATCTTTATTAATTATCATAATTATTATATTTCATATATTGTGGAGTCATTGCTAGCAGCTTTGCAGTTAAGGTTGAATTGGCTTTTCCACTAAAAGCAGGATTTAATTCTGTTGTTTCCTACAAAAATTAACACATTTCATCACCAAACGTGCAGCATCTCTCCAGCAGATACAACCCAATTTCTTTTCAGTGCCTGAGACACCCCAAAGATCCCTTTCAGACCATTTAAAAGCTCATTTTCCCCCGTTTTCTTAATGCCTCCTCAGATTTACAACAATCAGCCCTGTCAAACTTTGCACGTTCCTGTGCCTCCGTTAGACCTCAAACAGAGACTGATCTGAAACACCCGTCATCACAAAGTGTTATTGCTATTAATAGCCAGAATGCTTTTATATGTATATATATATATATAAATATACATGCTAAGAGAAGCTGGCAGAGGAAATGCTCTTCATCAGATGAATGTTCTCACAGCTCACCTCATGTCTTCAGTGCTTCTTCTCCTCCTCAGACTGTCAGAAGATAACCCAGGGGAGCTGAGCATCATCCTCACCAGGGGCATGGGGAACGAGGTGTTTCCAGCCTCCTCCACGGTTCTCTGCCCATGGATCAGCAGCCCCTGCTGCTCCAGGGGGAACCTATCCAGCCTCACCAATTTGTACCTGCTGCTAAATCCTCCCTCAGCCCGTTTTTACCCGTGTTTCAATGTGTTTTGTCCCTCTGGCACTTTGGTACCTGCGCTATGGAGCAAGTGGAGGTCTACCAGGAGATGCAGGTTTGGCTGAATCCCTGCTCTCCTCTAACACTTTGGTGTCCCTCTCTACATAGGATCAACAGTGGACCGTGGAGATGCTACCAGGGCTGGAGCACCTGTCCTTTGGAGCCAGGCTGGCAGAGCTGGGATTATCCAGCCTGGAGAAGAGAAGGCTCCAGGGAGACCTTAGAGCCCTTTGCAGTGCCTAAAGGGGTCTTATAAGAAAAATGGGGACATTTCATCAGGGCATGTTGTGATAGGGAAAAGGATCAAGGCCTTGAGGTTTGGCCAAGCATCCAAAGGTGAAAGGAATGGTCTGTGCTGGCTGAAGGGAGCCAGTGACACCAGCTGAACCACAGCATTCCCAGCAGAGCCCAACCGAGCAGCTAAACACAGACAGGGAAAGATCCCAGTCCTTTTGTTCTTTTCCCAACTGACTCCTCACAAACCCCAGAGCATTTGTAGTTGCTTTGGTCAGGTCGTTGAAAGAGGAGCTCCCAACATGACAACTCACATTTCATGCCTAACATTAGCCCTGAAACAGAAACAGCGGAGTGTGATTATCTCAGCAATCCCATTTAAGCCACATGGACTCCTCACAAAGAAAAGAAAACTCTGCAGTGACTATTTCTAAATATTAGACTAAACCTAAACAATCATAATTTCCGAGGCACCTTTTAGAAGCAGGAAAAAGTCTCTGAATATATCAGTTTCATTATTTGTTTCAACGTGGTCCTCCTTCCCTCAACAAACCATCTAAAAAGCCTGCTGAAATGGTTTCTAAAATAATTTAGCACAGTGCACTTTATTACTTTAAAATAGTGATATCATTTCCCCACTGTATTATGCAGCTATATTTTGACATTTTCGTCTTATCCCCAGTTTATGTCTGAGAGTGATTTAATTCAGAACTACACTCCTCGTTCCTGCTCGGAAGGAGAGAGATCTCTAAATATTCAGTGGTTTCATTGGTCATAAAAAATGCTGAACAAATGGATAAACCCAATTGCCAATAAACACAATGCAAATGTGTACATTTAAATGCGGTGAAATTGGATTAATTAAATCCACGTTGCATCTGGATTTACATGTAATACAAAACAAAATTAAATGCAGCTCAAGAGCTTCCTGTGACTTTAAAATGGGGCTGATTGAAAACATCTTCGTTTACCTGTGTGGGCTCAGGGTCGGGAACTGCGCTAGTAAATAAAAACACTCACAGTCTAGATAAGCTAGATTTGACCCAAAAATCAAGGTTATGAATTTGGCATTTCACGTAATTTAAAATCTAATGTATAATTGCATCTCTCTGCTAACAAAACAGATGGTATTAGGCCTTCTTTTTGGCACTGGGTTTTGGTACCTGTCCAAAAAATCTTCTTGACATCCTTTAAATGCAGCTATTTAACCACCTGTCACTTTGCTTTAGATGCCCATTGAATTTCTGACAGGAAAAACATTATTTTGTCTACACGTTATTTCACGACACAAGAAACGTAGCA